GATTTGGACTAAATAATGAAAAGTTAAAATTTTGTATTAAATGCAAATACAAAAAAAAATGTAGTGGAATTCCTTAAAAAAGCTTGTCATATAGTTCATTCTACAAAAGTATTTGAAGCTTACAAAATAAAAATGTCATATGTGCAAATTACCGTGTGTCTCAGAGCATTAACTAATAATCTGTTTAGTTCAAAAGTGAACCATCTTCTATGTTCACTTTTCATAATAATAACTATAATATTATTGGAGATTAACTCCAAGAAAAACAACAGTTTGGAAAGACATTATCCAAATAACTCAAGAATTTGTATTTTGTCATATAATTTGACTGAACAATGTAAATCCTAAATTATAATATTCTTAGATCTTATTTATAAATACATTAGTTATTAAATTATAATTTACTAACTTTTTTGTATACAGAAATAAGTGGTGGAACCAAACAAACTTTTATGTTTAGGCCTTAGTCTTCTAATTATGCCCTTTTCTTTTTGAAATGTTATAAAAAGAAACATTAGGCTTTATAGGAGCCATTAATCAACTGTAAGACAAAAACTTCAAAAGCACAGTCTCTCTTCATTTGAAGTAATTTTTAAATTTATCTGTGCCAAGTAATATAATTATCTATTAGAAGTAAATCTGTATTTGTGTTGAAACTTTCTATGTGAATGCATACGTTTATAAGTGCATGGCACTGAAAAGTATGCTACGGGGTAAGTGTTAAATATAGACTGGTTCCATCTGCCATCTTTATTAAAATTACTGATTAAAAAAATAGAGCCAAGAATTAGAAAGTATTTTATACTTCTTATATTAAAATTGCATCCATATATTACTACTTAACTAAAAAGGACTTGCAAAGTCTTTGGATTTGTAGTCTATGAATGGTATTAACTTTTAAGACAAAAGAATACTGTTTGTGGTATATAAAATGTCTGATAAAACTAACTGAGATCTGTTCAAGTTTAAAACTCTTACAAATCTAGGACTACATCGTACCAAAATCACAATCTGGTTTGAAAGATCCTGAGACAAAATCATCTTCTGGCGATACTAAAAAGAAAAATAACTATTTTAGATAAAGTAAAGAAGATTCACTTCTGATTACCTGAAGACACAGAAAAATTGCATCCTAAACCAAAACTATAAATAAGAGAGTGACTCCTACAGAGACTTGACCATGTACATAATATCTTTTTTGCTGTTGTTTAATGCTTACCAGTTAATTAAGTGACCTCTGTCGCAACAGTCAAGTTCATGCAACTAGTGTTTAGTTTAAAAATAATAATTGAAGGAAGCTGATCAAGGTCAGACTTAGTCCTTTGACAACTTTTAAATATATTTCCTTCTATTTTCTTTCATGTTTTGAGACCCTTACTTCTGGCTTTACTAGCAAGCAGGTGATAGTCTCTGTTTCACCTCCCTGTGGTAATGACAGAAGGCTCCAACATTTATTCTGGTTTTCATAAACAGCATACTGATGCAACAGCTCCAAGCAAATTAAACCCATCCTAAGGTTTGTTACTAACTTACTGAGCCACTTTGAATAAGTTTTTGAACCTTCTTTGCTTTAACATAATTTTTGTTTCTCAGATTCCCTGGTATCTGAATGCTATCAAGACACATAATTAGATAATGTTCTATAAAAAGCTGAAAGTGCTAAGATTTCATGTTTTGTTTTGTTTTACATACTATGCTTAGACTGTCTTATAGAGTTTGACATTTTGCACAGTTTATCTTATCCTCTGCAAAAATTATCCCTTTAGGTAGTTTCTTAAGTAGCCAGAAGAGAAAGAAACCAGAATGAAGTAAATCAATACCGTATATCTAAGTGAATGAAAAAAGATCTTAATAGCAAAGGCATAAACTGGACTTGAATGAAAACAAGTAATTTTAGTTTTTAAAATTCAAGATGCTAAATATTTTAGGTATTACTTTTAAAGTTAAGAAATAAGACAATAGCACTTGTAATTATCATGTAAAATAATAATGCCTTACATTATAAACAGTATGTTTTGGTGAAAGAGAGTTCAATGATAAGGTTTTTATTATTATTATTATTTTCTTAGTCATTGGCAGAGTTAGGAAAACCTAGGTAGATATTTGCAATTACACATCTTCGAAGATTAACGGGTTTCAGCAACACTTGTAGTTGATAAAAGATCAAAATTCAATTGTAACTCAACAAAATTACCATGTATAATTTTAAAATAACCTGAAGTAAAGTTTTAGAGTAACATATTGAATTGAAAGACCAGTTGATTGCAATATATTTAGACTATTGATAATATATTTTTGAAGAGATAAAGAGTTCTACTGGAGTTAACTTATCTTGGCTCTAAAAGTCCAGGGAGCAATTTTTAACCTCAGGGAAAAAACACTAAGAAATGTTGCCAATAGCATTAAGAATATTCCCCATTCATATGGAGAGGACTTCAATTTCAAAGTCAGTCAAAGCAAAAATTTCAGAAACACACACACACACACACACACACACACACACACACACACAACGACGACGACTACGACGACAAGGGAACAACTGTAATAGGTGTAACACTACCTGCTTCACATTGATTAGAACACTACAGTCATTGAAAGAAGTTTTCTCTAGCAATTTTTGTGTGTGTGTGTTATGTGAAATGGCCATTAATTATCTAGTACAGTGCATGGTGTAAGCAACACACAAAGAGGATTCCAGAGCAGAGTGATTTGATTACCGAAGAGAAAAAACAGTAGCGCTTCACAGTTTACTGGGTAGAATAGACAATTTTATAACAATCATATCTTAACTGGCTTCAAATTTCAGCTAGCATTCTCTATAACAACTCCGGAACAATGTTCTGCCCTGATTCTAACAGTTCTCACAAAGGATTTTTTGGCAAATGTGTTATCTTCTGTAGGTCCAAGGACTCCAATTATCTCTGAAAATGACTTGTAGTGAGTCAAGATCCCCCCTCAATCTTGACTGCCACCTGTCCATCCTCTTGGACACGCGCACGCAAACACGCGCGCGCGCTCTGAGCATTCACTCCAAAATAGTTGAAATAAAGGCTCAAAAACACAGACACACATCCATTCCCCCCCCCACACACACACACACACATGCAAATAATGGTACTTAAACTCTAAAAGTTTCTGGCTAGGTTAGGATGGGACGCTGGTTGAGTCCGAGTTGATCTTTTTCGTCTGATAGCCTTTGGGGGCACTTAGCCAGGAGTCTTCTACCAAGAAAGAAATAGTTAAGAGCTTTTCCACCTCGGTTTCCTGAAGGTTGCGTCCTACACCCCTCTTTCCCTCCCACCTCAGTTTCCCTAGTCCTACCAGGGGCACGCCCTAAAAAGAGTAAAGCTCGGTTCCTTCTCCCAGTCTTGAAACTTATGGGGAGGATGTGGAAGTCTCCGCGCAGATTCTGCGCGTGGTTCTCACGCTCCCGCTTCTGGTCTCCAACTTTCCCCGCTGGCTTCTCTCCTGACAACTGAACTTTCCGCTCCGCAGCGAGCCGCGGGGACAAAGAGGGCTGGGAGAGCAGGTGAAGACCATTGCTACCCCGAAACTGACAAGTTACCCCACTCCCGCCCCCTCTCGGTAGATCCTCCCCCAGGGAGCGTGCATTAGCATAAAGCTGCTCTGGCCAGGCTCCCGGTGCCCGGCCTCCGGGGTTCGCGCGCTCTGCCGGGATGGGGAAGCCGCCACTCAGGCTCCAGAATGGAGATCCAGAGAGCTTTCCGGCGCAAAGCCTGCACCTGCTCATTCGTGAGCGACTAACCTTAAATGTAAGAGAGAGAAGAGAAGAGAGTGAAGAAGAGAAGAGGAGAGAAGAGAAGAGAAGAGAAGAGAAGAGAAGAGAAGAGAAGAGAAGAGAAGAGAAGAGAAGAGAAGAGAAGAGAAGAGAAGAGAAGAGAAGAGAAGAGAAGAGAAGAGAAGAGAAGAGAAGAGAAGAAGGAGGAAGAGAAGAGAAAAGAAAAGAAAAGAAAAGAAAAGAAAAGAAAAGAAAAGAAAAGAAAAGAAAAGAAAAGAAAAGAAAAGAAAAGAAAAGAAAAGAAAAGAAAAGAAAAGGCAGTTTGTTGAGAAAGAGCGAGCCAGCGAGAGAGTGAGAGTGTGGTCTTCCTTCCCCACGACTCCAGTTCAGCTCCCCGGGGTCACAGGCATCCCGGCACCCTCCCTCAGAGAAGAAAACCCGCCGGTCCCCCCGCATCTGCCCCGGGGCAAATGTATCGTCCACTTTGCACACGCACCGCTCACACGCGGACACTCGCACACGTGCGCGCACACAGACCCCTCCCCTCCCCGGGCTCCTCTCCGGGGTTCGGGGCTGAACTCGCAGCGGGTCCCTCGGGATCGCCCCGGGCCCGTGTCCTCTGCTGTCCTTCCCCTTCCGACCTCCCAGTGGTCCCCTCCCCAGACTCCCTTTCGGGGCCCCTCACCCAAAGCGTGTTATCCTCCCGCTTCCCGATCCCTGCCTGGCAGGTCACGATCTCCCCTCCACCACCCCCTCCCACCCCCAGGACACCACTGGGCGCCGCACACTCGCCCGGCCGGCCGGCTGGGGTCCCGGACACCCGGCGGAACCCGGGTCTGAGGGCGCGCACACAAGGGCAGCGCGCTGAAAGGGGGCCACAGTCGCTGGGGCGGCCCCGGGAGGGACTGGGACTCCTGAAAAGGCACCGTCCTCCCCCTTCCCATCCCCTCCGCCCCCGGGCTTGGGGCTCCCGCGTACCCCAGCAGCCAAGCCCCTGTGGGCAGGCGGACAAGGGGGCGGGCCCGGCGGGAAGAAGGAGATCGGGGCCGGGGTGAAGAAGCAACTTCTCCGGGGGGGTCGGGAGCGGCCAGTCAGCCCCGGGGACGGGGAACGGGGGGCCGCACCCCCCGGGGCGCGCGGCTCGCGGGCGCGCGGAGGGAGCGGAGTCTGGAGAGGAGCCGGGGACGGGGAGAAGGAAGGTGGTGGGAAGGGACCCCGGGTGGAGGAGGCTCCCCCTATGCCCCCACCCCCCTTTTACCTTGCGTTGGTGCAGTCATTGTAGAGGGTCTCGAAGTCCTTCCTGGAAATGAGTTTGCAGCGGTTCACCCCGGGCTGGATGGCCCCCAGCCCCCGCAGGATGCGGACCTGCTCCACGTTGCACACCACCGGCGTGATCTCCAGGCGCTTGAGCTTGGTGTAGACGGTGTGCAAGCCCCCCACCAAGTGCTTCAGGAACAGGTCGAACGCCTGGGGCAGGCAGATGAGCTCGCAGCCCTCCACCGTGAACGAGGCCACCTTGGCCCCCCTCAGGTCCACCATTTTGCACTCATTATTCTGGGGGGTGTTTTCCACTGGGGACGGGGTCGAGTACACGGGCTTCCCGGGGAGGGGGCCGCAGCTGCTGCTGCCGCTGCTGCTGCTGCTGCTGCTGCTGCTACTGCTGCTGCTGCTGCTGCTGCCGCCGCCGCCGCCGCCGCCGCCGCCGCCTGAGCTCGCTGGGATGGGGGTGCTGGAGGCGCCGCAGCCGCCGGCGCTGATGCCGCCACCGCCGCCCGCGGTCGCCAGGCTGGGGTTGCAGTTGCCGCCGCCGCCGCCGCCTCCGTTGCCAGCGCCGCCGCCTCCGCTGCAGCCGCCGCCGCCGCCGGTGGAGGGTCCCGTGGCCGCCGCCGCCGCCGGAGCGCTGGGCTCCGGCCGGAACAGAGTTGGCCCCGAGGAGGACGCCGGGGGCCCGATGGCCGGAGCCGGGGACGAGGTCGCCGAGGAGGTGGAGGTGGTGGTGCCCGCGGAGGACGCCGACGTGGAGATCGGGGGCTGCGGGGGCACCAGCTGGGTCGGAGGGATCAAAGCCGCCGGCACTGCCATGGCCACATAGACGGGGAGCCGCCGGGAGGAGCCGGAGGAGGAGGAGGAGGAGGAGAAGCCAAGGGGGGAAAGTTACCACACGCGCACACCCCGGGGAGGGCGAAGGGGGAGAAGAAGGGAGAGAAGGAGCCGGGGCAGCAACAACCACAACAACTCCGGGAGAAGCGAGGAGGAGGAAGGGGAGAGGAGGAGGTGAGGGCGAGAGAGAGCGAGCGGGCGCCGGAGGGGTGAGCGCGAGGCGCGCTGGAGAGGAACGCGCCAAAGTGTCCCGCAAGTGGAAAGGCGAGTCCTCTCCGGGGGCTGCGATCGGGGTTGGTTTGGGGGGGTGCAGGGGGGGGGTGAGCCGAGCGGGGAGGGTCGGCTGTGGTTGTGCGGGTCCCGCTCCGGCACAAAGTTAAAGAGGAAGGTGAAAAGGAGGAGGAGGCTTGAGGACTTGGGTTCTCCCCGGCAAGTACATTGATCAAAGATTGAGAGGGGAATGACAGAGAGAAAATGAGCTGAAAAGTGCAGGCTGCCGGCTGGACGAGTTGTTGTTGTCACACGGTGCAGAGGGGAGGAGCTCCGGAAACTTGAAATACCCTTTGAAGCCGCAAAAAACCTCGCTCACTAGTATTAACCCAAATTATCCAACCAGGAACTCGGAGCGGAGACTCCGCGGGCGCGCGGCGCGCGGGGGGCGGGGAGGGGGGACGGGCGAAGGAGGAGGGGAGGGGCGGGGGTTGGGAGGGGGGGGTAATGGGGAAAGGTGGGTAAGAAAGAAACTAAGGGAGACACAGAGAGGAAAAGCCAGAGACACTGGAGTGGCTAAAGGCAGAGGAGAGAATGTCTAGTTCTCTCCCGCTACCGTTAGATTGTACGTCTCCTATTCCATTTCGTCCGCGAAGGCTCGTATTGTGTTGTGTGTTGTTTGTTTCTTTTTCCAAAACCCACTAAGCCACCGCCTGCCAACTTAAAGAGGAGCCGGAGCGCTTCAGTCTGTCCTTCAAGGATTTAGGGTACATCTCTACTGTTTTGTTGGTGTGGTTTTTTGTTTGTTTGTTTGGTTGGTTTTTTGTTTGTTTGTTTTGTTTTTTTAATGAGATGTAAAAGAAAGCACACGCCCTCACTTTATGATTGTTAAGAAATTATTTGGAGAAAATTTCACATGTAAGCAAAGCGCATAATGTTTATCTATTGCATTATTTGGATAAAGACAGTGAAAACGCGAGGACAGTTTTCAAGTTGTGGGTAAAAAGTCAGGGGGACCGCTTGAGAATAATGGGATGCTCTGTACTCCGTTCCTTATTTCCTAATAGATAGTGGGCGGAAAGAGATGCTTGCCCTGCTGTGGATCGCTCGGAAGAACTTCACGTCTGCCCCGAGAGGAGGTCAGAATCCTCATGATACCTTAGAGAATGTGGAGGCTTCAGGCATCTTTTAAGATTTAGAAAGATTTTTTCTTACCTAAAACTCTATAATTAACTCACCTGCCTTGCACAGTTATCAACTTGTCTACATCCTTTAAGATCCAAGGTTAGTTGCTAATATATTATGTGAATAATTATGATATTCCTATTTGGGAAGGTCCTATTCAGTTTTTGTCAGTGCAACTGTGTTTTGTAAATACTGAAAAGAACAAAAACAAAGCCAACTGCCTGACTTGTAAAGACTGAAAGGGTAGCTTTGCTGAAAAACAGCAGGGCTGAATTCAGACTGACTCTTCTTCCTTGCTGTCCTCTCTCCTTTTCTTCCTTTTTTAACTTGTTGCATGAATGTATTTATTCAAGGGTTTTTGACCAGCATATGATTTGAGTGTAGGTCAGTCTTCTCTGTTTATATCTCTGGCAACCTTAAATAATTGGGCTCTAAACCTGTCTACACATGTTCACTAACTTCACAAGACAAAAACAATGCTATAGCATTTTGCAGATTTTAAATATAAACTATCAGCACCAGTTTCACAGTATTGAGAAATTTTATAGTGAAATTTCTGCCATTTTGGCATTGAAATGATCACATTTCTCTTTACAATTTTAATTCTTTCCGCTTTCTGAAGTTTCTTGTTAAAAGGTGGGAATAGCTAGGAAATATTACACTGTTAACTAATTTGTCTAAGTTTATGCTAAACTTTTTGGGATGTAGCAATTCTATCAGGAAGCTTTCCTGGGTCATAAGAATTCAGAAAATTGATTGTTGCCAAAAAATAGATAAAATTCTACAAATATAGCTACAGTTTACACAGTTTTTTGGCCTAGTTTTTTTTTAAATAAATTATTATTCAATATATAGTTTGGCCAATGTATTTAACATATTCAGAATCACTTACCTTAATTTTTCCTGTTTCACATCTGTTCTTATTTTAAAATAAAGATTTGATATACAACACATACATTAAAAACACCTCTTTATTTGTCTACACATGTTTTGGAAAATATTACCTTTAAAATATGCCAGATTACTATGTTAATGAATAAAGGAGAGAAAGAAGATGTTAAGCCCCCGCCCCCCCCCCAAAAAAAAAACACTAATTTTATTTTGGAATTGCATGCACGACTGTAATAAACTTTGACATAGTTTAAAAAAAAACCCTCTAAACTACAGTTTCTTTATTTTAGATTCTAGATCTGCAAATGGAAATAAATGGGAATTCAGTGCCCCACATCTGCCCTTACCATTCTCATTTCTCACGTTTCCTTAAACCGTCACTCACCCAATAGCTGCCACATTCAGAAGCCACAGATGGGAAGTAATGATAGCTGACGGAACCATAATCCCACTCTGCTTGGAAGCAAACTCCACATTTTCTGCAGGGAAACCTGCGTCTGGCAGCACGTGCTCTATTCAGAAGCAGGGCTTTGGGCATTTGTCCCCACCTTTATGGAGCTTCCTCCCCCTTCACCCCTACCTCTGCTCTCTAAACTGTTTCAAGGAACTATCCCTCACTCCTTAGATCAAACAATAGGAGTAGAAAAAGCATACCATGCAAATTAAAATATATAGGGAAGAAAAGCCTCCTGACGTTTTTAAGATATCTTTCTCTTTCAGAAATGTTATCAATGATTAAGGCAAACAGTATGTAACAACAGATAAAACAACTCCATGGAAATTTCAAACTCTCCCTCTTTCCATGACATTTTTAGCTTTCAAAGCTTCTGTCTTGTTTGTTTATTGTTTTTACATCTTTGGTTGTTTCAGGTCCTCTGCCTCCATCTCATCTCTTCCAACCTGCACTCAATTTGCATAAGCAAAACTCTAAGTATTGTAACTGATATTAGAAAATTCTCCCTGTGTTTTGTGAAGACGTATTGTGCTGAAATCAATAAGACTGTTTAAAATTCAAAGACCTGCAAATCGTTCTGTTTGTCCTTTGATAGGGCCTCTGCTGATTAAAATGCTACCAAGAAAGCTTAATTGCTGCACTAATTAAGAAGTCTTTAATTTCTTTCCTAGGATATCCTTTGAAGCTGAGCTTGTACCAGTTCAGGGAAGGTATTTTCTTCCCTCCCTCTGCCCCCTTCTGGTCCCTCCTCTCCTCTTTCTCCTCCTCCCCTGCCCTCCACAAGATTCCTATGAATGGGAACTAATAGAGTGGTCTCAGGTCTCACCATCTATTAAAAATCGGCCCCGGGATGCAGAGTTCAGTGCAGTACGAAATGCAGTTTTGAGAAAAGCTGTAAGATTGCAGGAGACAGTAAGGAAATACAGAGTAGCTGTTGCCGCTAAAGTCCCGGTGAGTACCTGGGATGACAAGAGGCACTTTAGCCGGAAGATGAGGGCATCCTATTTGGTTAGAAGGGGCAGTGACAAGGAAATGTTTCTGTTGAAACAGGAAAACATAAACATGTACTTTCAAAACCTGTGGTTTTAAAAAAGAAGAATAAGTAGGTAGAAAGGTGGACTTGTAGTGGGGATTTGATAAGTATCATTTTATTTTATGAGTATAAAATCATGAATTCCGTGGGGATTTATTTTTGCCCTTTTTATAACTCAAGGGGGCATAGCACTGTATTACATTCATTTCATCCTTATCTATTGACCTATTTTATTCAATGATTTCTCAAGTGGGGAAACTGACTAAATGATTTCACAAAGCTTTCTCTGTAATCAATAGTCATTTTTTAGGTTTATTCATGCTGCATTATAATTCTGGTAAATGACTGCAAAGCAGAAGATTGTCAGAAAGATACAAATATTGACAAAGCCAGGATAATTCATGTCTTTAAACCCTTCAGAATTTCAATATAGCAACTGATATAGTTATTTGAAAGGAAAGGATTGAGAAATGCATACTTCCTAGAATATAAACCTAAAATGATTAACTGGCAATACATATTTGGATGTTTCTTGCATATCTCAAAATTTCTTGAAAGCTTTGGGTATCCTCTTTTTTTTTTTTATAGCATCACTAAATGCTACAAAAACAATTTGAGCCTATGCAGATAGGGCAACAAGAAAAGGGTCATTACAATATTATCCTTTTAATTTTTTGCCAAGTTCAATTAGAAGCATGCACAGAAAAATACAGATGTATACTTCAGATATCTACTGACTCCCTTTTAGTGACAGGACAAGGAGATAACATGCTTAATAGATTCAAAGGCAGACTTACTATTCCGAGCACGACGTCACTCTAATTATGTTTACTCTAATTGAAAGCAAGGTTTTTTTGGAATCTGAAATTACTTTCAGAATTTTTTTTTAAATAATGCAAGTGGATCAAATGTTGATCACAAGCATTTCCATCTTTCAAAATGTATTGGAAAATTAAATGAAAAGTGGAGTTTCGTACGAACAATGCCCCAGGGCAAAAAACAACTAACACTAGATTTTCCAGTCCAGCCATAACACAAATCAATTTGAGCACACTTCTATGGCCAGACTGCCAGATTGTTATGACTGCTAATTCACTCAATCAAAGAGTGCATTAGCACACCCGGCACAAATAGCTTTAACAATAGAGTGCACTTCTGAACAATTCTAAGATATATCACAACGGAGAAAGAAGTAAAGAGGAAGATCAT